TTAAGAAAGCACCAAAGTTCATGGTCCCGCATTTAATTCTCTCACATGTCTAGACATTTGTTTAGCATCAGTTAACGGAAACAGATTAATTATCAATTGTTTAGACTGAACCGAACACTCGTACGTGCCTCTTTGGATTGGCTAGCAAAAATTAAACAATTCCTTTGGAAATTTATATTTCTCTTCTCTTCTCTAGATAATTGGCACTGCAGTCTCTGGTTAACTCAACACTTTCTCCGGTGGAAGCAGTCGGCATTGGGCATTCGGTAGACAGTAACGGAGGCGGATGCGGGTGTTTAACAGATTGCGCAAACTTTGAGATACATTTATGAGTGCCAAGAAAACGGCAAAAGCCAGCCTCGTACGCCGGAAGAGTAGACGCATCTGTTAACAGGCAGTCGCACAGCTTGGTTTCAGTGATAAAATGTGAAGTGCGGCGAGCTGAAGTGAAACAAAGTAGAGAAAAGAAAAGAAGCGAAAAGAAAATAGAGAAAAAAAAACCACACACACACACACAGACACGCACACACAGACACCCTGTGAACATAAAAGCAGCAAAAGTCAGCAACAAAGCCGCCAGCTTAAAACTTGCCCTAGTTCGAATTTATCATAAGTTCACGCACACACACGCAAACACACACACACGCACACACGCACACACGCACACATCAAATAATAAAAATATGAGCTCCCGCGAGGACTTTGAACGGCTGCGGCAGCAGGAGCAGGAGCAGCAGCTCAAACTCGAACTGGAATTGCAACAGAATCACACCATCAGCATGCACAGCCATCCCTTGCTCTCCGAGTATTATACATGTGAGTAAAACTTACAATGCTGGCTCATCTGCATAAATAATAGAATGCTAGAAAAAAACTCGAATCCAATAAAGTTGAAAGTTGTTTAAATTGCTCACAGATCAAAGTTTCCATGTGACTACATTGAGTGACCTTGATCGATTTACACTGTGAATATCTGGCCTATTTATGTTCAGATGATTCTTGTCAACACCAAGATCTAGTCACATTTTCCAGTCATTCACTCGCTTATACTATAATTATCTCCTCTATTCGCCCTCTTCAGATATGACGGCCTTTGTCTCGCTGGCCATCTTCGTGGCCGCAATGCTGACCATACTAAACATTTCCATATATCTGGCGACTGTGTCGCAGCTGCGTCGCCATCTCAACAAGCCGCTGCTGATGCCCTCCATTGTGATGGTCAGCCTGTATCCGGTCATCTCGGTGGCGGCCCTGGTGACCATACTGGTGCCGTACTCTTGGTTCATCTGCCACACAGTGATGCACGCCATGTTCATGATAGGCGGGCCCGTCTTTCGTATGCTGCTCTTTCGCTATGTCGAGTCGGAGCAGAACTATCTGAAGGAAACATCCGGCGAACCGGTCGCATTGAATACGCCGCCCTGCTGCTGCTGCTGCCTCTGCCTGCCCATGGTGGTGCCCACGAAGACGAAGCTGTGCATCTCCCGCTACATGGTCTGGCAGATGCCCGTCTGGCAGGGCGGCATCATGCTGGTCATGAACATACTCTACTATCGTGATATCACGCTCTATCGTGAGGTGGTCCTCTTCTTCATACCCTTCATCATAGCATCCATTGTGCTGGGCGCCTGGTCGCTGCAGATCACGGTGCGCATGATCACCAAGCTCCACGGCGACTATCAGCTCAGGAAGAAGATGTTCTGCCTGCAATTGATTGTGCTGCTCTGCAAGCTGCAGTACTTGGTCCTATACGAGCAGCTGAACTCCCTCAAGCTGGGCGGCGAATATCCCATCAATCACACAATTTACAAGCAGAGTAAGTGCAGCAAGAGAGCGGCATGTGCTGTTTGTGCGCCATTAAGTTTCTATTTTTGTTTCATTCTGCAGCCATCATCAATATCCTGGTACTGGTCGAAATGGTACTGGTCTCCATGTTGGCGCAGAGCGCCTATCGCGTACCCATTCAAGTGCAAATCGACGACTCGAATCGCAAATGATAGAATCGCGAGCTGTAGTTGGTTAGTGACACGAGTTGTATAGCAAAAGATTGTGATAATTTAATAAAGACAAATTAGTTTACAAATAAATAGAGATCAAGTTTAGAATATAATAAAAATATGGCGAAAAGCCTATTGAAACATTGAATTGATTGATATGAAAATATTCCATTTATAGAGAGACACAAATTTATTGTGGCACACAACAATTTGGACAACCTGCTTATAACTGCTGTCCTCTGCATTTTTGCCAATAAAATACCAATTTCTGGCAATATAAATTGTCGGGCCAAAATATTAAGCCAAGCTATCCAGTTCATTTTAGTTGCATTTAGTAGACAATTCTTATGCCCGACCACTGTCACAATTCCTTAGGCTGTAATTCAACGAAAATGGGTCGAATCTCAGCTGCCTTGTTGGCCAAATAGCCGACCACAAATCATGTGTCTTCCCGGATCCTGCCTGGAGTGGATGGAGTGTACAGTGTCCAGTGTCCAGTGTCCTGCCCGGCTCAAGCCTAAGGGTTCCCAGGACACGCGTGTCGCGTTTAGCTCATAATTCTCAATGGCCCCAGGGGGCAAGCGTTGGAGTTGGAGTTGGAGTTGGGCTTGAGGTTTGGGTAGCGCTTTACATTTTTCAACAAAATTGTATGCGGCTTAGGCCGCATGGTCTAGGCGCCATGAAAATACAATAAATAAGTGTTGTTTTTATTTATTTTGTTTTTGGCTAGATAGCCTTTTTCGGATAACTCAATTGCCGTCGTTGGGGCATGGCTGGGGACTGGCCAGGAGGCGGCCACAAGCTGAGAAGAGCAAGGAGCCAAGGCACGAGAAAAACAAGAGACAGCAAAAGCAAAAGCAACAACAACAACAGTAAGAGCAAATGCGTGTTGTTGTGGCAGTGCGTTGAAATTTATGATTTATTTGAAAAGAAAGTACATTGTGCGCTGCCGAAATAAATCACATCGAAGACGCTGCCAGGGCGCTGGCAACAAGAAAAGAACGCCAACGAACGAAAATCAAATAAATAATGTGAAACAGTGCAACAACAGGTTCGGCCACTCGAGCAGCGCAAATGCCCTAACATTTAATAGAAGGAATAGAAACCTTGTAATTGACCAAAAATTAAAATTGTATTGCCTACTTTTGAGCTGAAAACAGTTCCAGTTGATTTGCAATCGTCATTGCACTGAATATATTTTTTGTTGCATACTTTCGTGCTGAGCTAAATGTAAATTCAGCACAAAAGTATGCAGGGGAATTTGTAGAAATCTCGCTCTGCTCCAGAGCAATTCCCCCATGTACTATGTGTGTTGCAAGCAGCTGGGCCAAACTGTAATGCCGTTGAAAAGTGTTTTTATCGAGGTGCTCGTTTTTGGGGCAGCAATAGGGCCACAACAGTCAAGTGCCTTGGTCGGTCGCTGTTATCTTATCGTCCTTTTATGATGTACACAACGCCGCAGAGCGCAGCAATGAAAAGCCTTTGCCAGCGAGCGAACGCCAGCCCTATAGTCGTCCTTTTTCCCTAGTGCCAGGGCATACTGACAGCTCTGGTGTCTGTCTACCTACTTATTTGGAGCGGAGCTGTCGGTTTTTATGAAGACGCTTGTTTACTTGGTCTCCGCAACGGAGCCGTCGAGCTGGCTGCCTTTACTGCCTTGGCTGATAGCCCTGCCCGACTGGCAAGGCAAGTAAATCAGATTAAGTACCCGCTGCTCATTTTGATGAGTTGCAAGTGCCGACGACGGCCAACGAGAGGATGAAGGCGAGCACGCGGTACGCATCCAGATTAGGTGGCTGCGGGGATGCAATCCTGTGCGGCTTTTTGATTTCAAATTGGATTTTTGCAACGGATATGTGTGCGCGTGCCACACACACACACACACACACACACACACATACGCACACACATCACTCATGTAGAGAGTGCAGAAAAAAATTTAATTAAAATTCGCACAGCAATGTTATTTAAGCTATCGAATAAAGGAGGCACATATGGCGCCCTTTGTTGCGAGTTTTTCTCTTTTCTTTGCCTGTTTACAGCAGAATCGAACTAATTGCAACAAAAAAGCAAAAGAAAAACTG